ACAAACATGCATGTTACATACTGGACTATTCAAAAACACTGCCTGAGCAAACAAAAGGCTATTGTGAAACCCCTTTTTTTGATCAAATGGTGCTGTAGAGATTATCTATATAGCTAATACCCACTTGAAAGGGCTTTGTTGACCGTGCGGATGACAACCCAACTACACAGAACAGTAGCTGTGAAAAGAGGAGGCCACAGGATCTGTCGGGGACTGATATGATTCAACACACCCTGGGTGTCATGGCCAGTGAGCTGGGTCTGTGCCCCAAACAGCGATTAGCAGCGATGTGTAGCCCAACGCCACGCAACGTGCAACACCAGTTACACACCAACGATCCTGCGAAGAACTGTACTGAACTAGTCTGCAGAGGAAAAGGTAAAGGAGTGTGTCTCGTGCTTAAGGTGCACAAAAGTGACATGAATTACAATTTTCCTGTTGTTTATTCAGGCAAGCTAAACTCAGCTTCACATCCAAACAGGCATTAATACGGCCTGTCATTGACCTGTTTATACAGTCACCAAAACTATCATACGCTGAACGCAAAATGTGATGCGTGACTAAGTGAGAGGAGCTTAGCTGAGAAATCTCAGTGTAAAATAGCTGCTGAGTAACCCCAACCCTTATCTCAGCCATCAATGACTCAATTGCCCTTGAGCAAGGCACTTAAGCCCGATACTGTGTGTCCCAGCGGCAGTATCCAGATGGTATCAGTTTAAAAATAAGAGATCTTCTGTCGGAGCTTGGAGGACGAACTGTCACAGCATTTCAGATAGATTACAAGAACTGTGTGATCTCCGCACTTGTGTGTGGACTAATGAGTCATGCAATACATTATTGATCTTCATAAGGGAAGCAGCTGTAGGACAGTTCTTGAAGTAGATAAGGATACAGTGTCTTGGTCAAATCTATCTATCCATCTATCACTAGCTCTCTCTCTCTCTCTGTCTCTATGGTATTCCACTATATGTACATTGACATGACGTATCATTGATATGATATGACATTTAGATGCACAATTGCAGTAATAGATTTCTGTTCGGGTACAATATATTGCATTCTAAAAAACTATGTGGTGTAATGTCTTTAACTGGGTGTTTTGTTCATTTACTTCCTTAATTAGTTTTGATTTCATTGACTAAAATCTCACTCTTGTCTCCAGCCCATTGAGCATATTGCCGTTGTAGGAAAAAAAACCTCTTGTTTGTTAATTAATCTGCTCATTTGCCCACGAATCCATCTCTCTGTCCTCACATCTCCCTCTATTTTGTTGCTGTAACATTTACTGCTGGAGCTTGGTCCATACTGCAATTACCAATACACTCATAGTGTATATGCCATATTGAATGAAAGTGTCCCATCAAGATTTTGGCTTGAAGAGGATAGCAGGGAATTTGGTCGCTGGGATGGAGTTTCACTTCATCTTGCACCTTCATAAACAGTGATGGATTTCAAAAATCAGTTTGTGGCTGTGTGTCTGTTTGTCCATAGTTATGCGTGTGTGTGTGTGTGCTCTTCCATCTCCTCCATTGGCCAAACTGTTAACTGCTCTCCTTCTCGCCTTCCTTCCTCCCAGAATGCCTCTGGGAAACAAAGACGAGTGCACATAGCAACGCTGCACCTTGCGAACAATGTACCCTATCTGAATGTGTGTGTATGTGTGGTTGAGCATTAGTATGCTGCAGTGGTGTAGTGGTGTCTTCACAGGCGGGTATGCTGCAGGACTTTTAACTCTCTTACTTTTAGGCAGTTTTATTTGTGACAGTGAATTAAAAGGGCGATCATATGTTTTGTTTGGAGTAGCTTAATTCTCCATAACTGGAGTTTTAAAAGAACAAAATATAGAGGAAGGACCAGCTTGCTTGTTAAGTGATCTTTACATCTCAGGCAACAGTTATGGACAGTTAGGAGTACAGTTATGAATGGTATTGAACACTTGTGAAACCGTGTGGTTCAGCGGATGCTGGGATAGCATTATTAGCTAATGTTCCATCTGGGGATGCTTCTTCCTCTAGCTTGTCACCGTTGTGGTGCGACAAGCTTTCATTTTGATGAAGTTTAATAATGTGCTTTGCTGCATTGGCTTCATATTTTTAGCTGTACATCTGCAGGATTTACTAGCTACTAGTGCTAGTGTTTTATAACCCTCCACAAAGCTGGCAGGTTAAAAAAAAACATCTTCAATAAAATACCATAAACAAATGCTTTCTATTTGAAAATAGATTATTGTATATCGGCCGCCATCCGTTCACGCGTAACCAAAAAGTTCTGTCACCTGAGCGGACACCATCCCTTTATTTCTAGTGTTGTCTGTTGTAATCAACCAACTTCGCAGGTCCAGTTACACTGCACATGTGCCATACACCTCAAGATCATGTCCCAACCTTCGTTCAATAGCTTTGCCTTTAAAAAAAAGAACACTGATTTTACACATAAAAGTCTGTTTACAGGTCTTAAGGGAGTACTGCTACATACGTATATGAAAAAAGGTTTTTAAAAAAAGTGCAAAATATGAGAAATTGCCTTAAGTCAGCATCGGTTGGGTTTGAAGACTGCAAGTTTGCAAATGCAAGAAACCTGGGGGTGTGGAGTTAGGAAGAAGTGTGCTTACCAGACCTCTGCAGCTCGCTCCTCATTACTGCTTCAGGCTAGAGGCTCGAGGCGACATTAACACACCCATCCAGCAGGTGAATTGCATTGTGGGTAATGGGGCCACCAGATTTTAAAACTGTGTATTGCGACTGTGCAGCTTTGTCAATGCCGAGTGCACATTTTGTTTTGAGTGCTCACGAATTTCGTTTGTGTATCTGTTTTACTTAACGTAGTGATGGCTCAGACGGGAATCTATTCCTGATGGAGAATTTAGCTGTCCCTCTAGGCATCACAGGTGTTTCTATCTAAATGACACCCCAATGAAAGACACATTCCATCCAGGTTCCATTTGGGCAACCATGCAATAAATCAACACAACGTCACCACTCTACCACTCATTACTGCACACAGAGTGTCTGAAAGGGAGAGCGAGAGAGAGAGCGAGAGAGAGAGAGAGAGAGAGAGAGAGAGAGATACAATGACATAAAGGGACAGAGCAAAGACAGTTCTGCTGATCTGCAAACAATGCACCCCCAAGAAAGGTAATTTGAGAGTCTGATTGCTTTCTTTAGATAGTGTTTCATTTCGCTGTCATGGAATTATGAGAGGTAGCAGACTCACTTTTCACTGCCGCTCTGCATCTGTTCCAGAGGGCCCATGGGGGGGAAATCAATGGCTCACAGACATTTCTATGCAAACAACTGGCTACAATTTGACCCAGTGGGGTGAAAAACTGCAGTCAAACGCACTTTAGCTAGTGGCCAATACAAACACAAAGTGGATTTAAATGAGGAATGCAGAACAAATTGCTTGCTACATTAGCGCAGTAACAGTTACAGTAACGTTGTGTTAAGATTAGAAGTAATGTGATTTAAAGGTGAATTTGTGTGCGGAACATTAGCCTTTAAAAAGACTGCATCAGTGAGCAGAGCAAAAAAATAAAGGAGAGTGTGAGTAGAGGCGTTTAAATCTGTGGTTGGAGAGAGATGGAAAGACTGGCAGAGAGAGATTATGTGAGAGAGATTAAGAAACAGGGAGAAAGATGCAGATTGAGACTTTGGCCTCAAAAACTCAACGGTTTCTTTCCCTTCCCCATCACCAAAGTGACTGCTGTTACAGCTGCATTAAGGATACACCACCAGTGCAGCTGTGTAGCACAACAAGAGCTCTAAAGGAAACTGTCCATGAGACCAGAGGCAGAGAAAGCTGTAAAACCCACAGATCTTGTAACAATAACAACTGTCAGCCGTATTGGAGACATTTCTAACATTCATGTTCCATTTGAGAACATAATCCCTACAACGCACGGGCTACTACAACAGCTACTTCTAAGATCTGTTTCTGGTAACGAGGCTGGCAATATGGAGGGCAGTTTACTACTGTAAACTGTAGACTACTGTAGTACACAAGCAGGGCATTTATAGAGTAACATGTTGAAGAGTAATCTAAGAGAGATTTTGAACAATGAGCACTTGAGAAAACAGCAAATACTGACCTTTTTGTATAATAATGAATACAATAATTAAATTAGACAGTGGCTTTGTTGAATGGCTATTATAACCATTCTATAAATATATTGCACCAGTGGTGAATAAATCCATGTGTATCCTAAAGTAATCATTGAGACCTCCAGCAGCAGCAGATTACGCTTTAACACACATACCGCTTTGTACAGTCAATTATAACATTTAAACTGTAACTTCACTGATTCAGAGTCAGTTTACTAGTCAGAGGGTGTACTCCTCAGCCTCTGAAAACAGTTCATGTCTTCTGTGGCTCTGAAAGGAGCTTCGTCTAGCCTGAGTAAATAACCCTTGTTATGTCACCAGAAAGACTTGGATGTTGACCAGGCAGGAAAAGATGCACTACGGGAAATATAAGATCCCGTGATTTTGGAGCTTTACCAATTCTCAGGACTAAAATTCAGGATATTTTGGCCTCTTCTGCATTTACGTTTTAGAGACCAGCCAAAACCAGGGCTGAATGATGCTCTCTAAAACTGAAGGGAGCTGCGGAATATGTGAGTTCCTAACTACAAACGTCCCTTATACTGTGAATACACTTATTGCAAAATATTTATTATAGCAAATATAAGTACTAAATCCTATAAGACCTATTGCTGTATATCACACTGCAACAAAAGGGGGCTAACATCTTGTGTGCAGCTTACAGCCTGCTGTTAACAGTTCATAGTTTAGTTCGCACGCAACCACATGCACACATACTCATACACATCTCGACACTATCACATTTTCTTTCTTTTTGTTTTTGATAATCTAGACCCTGACATGCACAAACCCACAAGCTTTGATCTCCTGTCTGCTTTACTTTGACCACTGTCTGTTGGGACACACCAGAGCTGTTAAATTGGCTGAATCAGAATGGGAATATTCAGTGTGGTGGGCTACCTGCGTTAGGTCTGACTGAGTCTCTCTCCACTGAGCCCAGAGGATAATCCATGCAGGGCTGGTGTCTCTTCAACCAATGTTGGAAACAGCAGCTGTATGGAGACACATAAGGCCATTTTTTCAAACTGAACTGGATTGATTTTCTCTTTTCCTGTATGTGGTGTTTTTACATAACTGTTTGTTCATGCCAATAGAAGTAGGTTTGAATTGGATTTGTTGGATTCATCTTCCCCCTTCCAAATCATAAGCTCGTACTAAAAGTAATATTCTGTACTTATTGTTCCAGGGGCCATTGTCTTTCTCAAACTCTGTCTTGCTCTTACCCTCCCCGACTCTGTCTATGCAGTCTATTTCCAAAAACACTTTTCCTGCTAAATTTAGCCAACCAATCCTGATTGTGCATTAAGGCCACAACAGGCAGAACATATTTACGCAAGTCAGCAAATTATTCTTGGAGAGACTGTTTGACAGGGTGACTGGCAGCAAACTGCCAAATCTAGCTTCGCACCAACTGGAACGCTCATTTCATTGGGTGTTATTTCAAGAAAAAGAAAATTCCTTTTGTGATCACAATGTCAAAATGTCACAATAAATAAGAAATTGCATGGAATTGCCATGTAAGTAATCCCCCAGAGTGGTTAAACATAATGACGGCAAATACCCAGGCTGAGTGCTTTCCTTGCAGCATAGCGTATTTTCGAGTCATGGCCATTATATCCAAATAAGTAAATGCAATCAACAGAGACAGAGAGGGGGAGGGATGCTTAAGAAGGGCAGGGTGGTACTGTAGTCACGTACTAATATATATTACATTTCTATCTGCACACTGAAAACTGCATTTACACTGGCAACCTCAGGTTTTACTGTTCCAAACAACTCCGAGCAGAGCAGACTAGAGGGTAATGGAGGGTGACCGCAGTGTTGGACTTCATTTCGCCAACAATTTGGGAAAAAGGAAACAGCTGAAATGCCTCAATTTGAAATGGGAGTGGCTTTAGAGACCCACATTCTTAAGTATTTTAAATCATTTTGAACCTTGTATTTAATTCCTTTAAATGTGTATTACTAGTATTGACAGTTTGACAAAAAAAGACTTGATCATTAAGTTTTTTGTGCAAAAAAAGAGTGAGGACCTTTCTTGTCTCACCTTACGTTACAGAGCCTATGAATCTGTAGGCACCAGCACCGATTCAGCACATCATAGATTCACTTGAGATAAATACTGTATGTGCTCAATAGCCGCGAGAGCCAATTCACATAACACAGAAACTATAAAATGTAGAAGCAACTGCAGACGTCCCACATTTGACATGCTTTCTTTAACAGTTGCTTTACCCCTTAAAAAAGCTGAGTGAAGCATTTCCTACCTGGACTCACAGCGTAGCAGAGCAGGTCAGAATGTTTGAGTATCAATCCCTCTTTCACACTGATCCAGCTCTAAAAGCTCAGCACTTCTGTACTTTTACACTGTTGGTTACTCTGCTTTCATCTAAGATGGCAATCTCACTTATTGATGGCACTGGAAGCCAATAATCAATAAAAAAAATACTGTGATATTAGCACTTCAAAGGAAGGGCATGCACACATGCATTTAAATATACTGTGTCATGACAAATACAAATAACTGGGGTTGTGAATGTGTGTTTAATTTGTTTTAAAGGTTAGCAAGCCATAGAAAACATAAATGTAAATTAATTTGAACCACAAGTTGGAGAGGTAGATAGCACATTTAGCTTACATTGACACAAGCATCTCTCAAAGAAATACTTTGACCTTTTGGGAAACATTAACATTTTCTTGCCGAAAGTTGGGTGAGAATATCGATACAGCTCTCGTATGTTAAGTAGGAAACTACAGCCAGCAGCCTGATAGCTTAGCAAAGCCTAAAGACAGCATGAAAACAGGGGGAAACAGCTATCATGACTGTCTGAAGGTAATGGAATCAGCCAAGCAGAACCTCTAAAACTAATTTATCCCCTTACATCTCGTTTGGTTAATCCAAAAACTACAAACAGCATGTTGCAGTGTTATGCTGGTTGGTGAATTTTGTTACCTCTAGACAGAGCCATTCACGCTGTTTCCCTCCGTTTCCAGACTTTGTGCTAAGCTAAGCTAAACAGCTTCTGGCACGTAGCTTCATATTCACTGTACAGACAAGAAAGCGTATTTCCTAAAACGTCCAACTGTTCCTTTAAATCAACACCCTCAAAAGAGAATAGACATCAGATTTATTCACTACCACAAAACAAGATGTTAAATCCATCCACTCTCTCATACAGACAAATAGGCTTCCACACATAAATACACCTCCACTCACTGCAGTGACACCTGATTAAGTCGCTGTTGGCACAGCAACAAATATCAGCATGCACATTGAGCAAGTGATGAACTATCAACTGAAATCCACCCGCACCGCTGTGTCCGTCTTTTGCAGTCTCATTACCATCATGCTGTAAGAGAAAGCTGCTCCAGTGTCACACAATAAATTTCCGTACACCCCTATCTCTGCACATGACTGATCACTCCCAGCACTGATTTCATTGAGAGGACAGTGATGTATGAGGTTGTTATGGTGTTGTGGTCAATCATATTGTGTCTTAAGAGCACCCAGAGACAGGGGTCATGCAGGAACCTCATTTATTTATTTGTTTGATGTTTCTATGTATGAAACATAAGTATGTGTGCATACATTAGTACCCACACTGCATGTGTATAACATTTGCGTGGTATGCTTGGCTTTCAGCGCCCAGATGTTCCAATTTGTCGTACCGCTTGCCGTCAATGCTTTTATGACTGTTCTGACATGCTCCCATATGGATGCATCTTTGGTGACAGGCTCATCATTTCAGTCAGCCAAGACCACTGAAATGCCTTCTAATAAGACTGGACCGCTGCCGGTCCAGTCTGCTGATGGACAATCACATCGCGGTCGGAAAAGCACTCATATAAAGAAAATTTTAAAAAACCAAGCATTGTCACCTTTCATAAGCTATTTTACCATTAGCAATGGATTTCTCTTGCTATAGAATAAGACGGTGGACATGGAGAACTGAACATCAGCATTACACTTGATAAACACATATGAATGTACAGCATGTTGTTACTGAAAAAAAAAGTCAGGAGTTGCTGTTGGCTCCCAGTGACAGCATTTAGTGAAATATTTACTATAATCTTGACTGTGACTTTAGGAAGTATCCAGTGGCACTGTCCCCTTCCACTGATATCCTTAGTTGATGCAGGAGCCGAACAGTCAAGCTGAATCTATAATCAGTCAGTACCAATGGGCTCACTGTGAGACTGCCCTTGAGGGCTAATCTATATGTGTCCTTAGTGCTTAGGATGTCCATGAAATGTAGCGACTCCAACCCTGGACACTTGGGAGGACTGGTGTGAGAGCAAGGGGGAAATATTTAGTAACTGATTTGTTGCTCTGTGTCTTTTGGACCTTGTTCATATCCTGTTTCTTTCCTTTTTTTATCCACCCTTTCTTCAGCCTCCATCTATTTTCAATTCTATCGTAAGCCACTGCAATCAACTCCCGCCACCTCACTGACATATCTGCTTCTTTCATGGATAAAAGGAGAAAAACCGGTTGAGGTGGCAATCAATATAGTGATCTGTTTGTACCTGTTTTAAGATTGCAGAGTTTTTACTAAAGCCTATACTGTGTTTATAACTGAAGAAGAAGAAAAAAAAGGTGGTCTCAAGACTATTTTGTTGTTTACACGTTTTAGATTTCTTTAAAGTCACCATCATCCACAAACAATACAAACTACTTATTTATCATACATGCAGTAAAGGTTTGGTTAATTTTAATCTGGAAAACAATGAAAAAAAATTTAATAATTATTGCCAGATCCTTTCTACAGGCTCTGCATACGTCTAGTGTTTGATGGCTTTGCCCTCTATCAGCACCTGCAGTACACTTTTAATATCATCCTGCAACAATATTTTAACAGTGCTCTTCAGGGAGCTCCTGGCACACTTTGTATCCTAAAACCTAACTTGTTAAAGGTGATGGTGTTGACAGGGCACCTACGTTTTCTTGAATAAATTATGATGAAAAGAGCCGTATCCAACCTCTGACAGGACTTAGATGGTGCAGAATCTTTTATTAACAGTAAGTCCTTCTTCTCTTTACGTATATGCTTATATGTTTGTGTGTGTGTGTGTGTGTGTGTGTGTGTGGAGAGAGAGACAGAGAGAGAAGCTGTCAACCTGCCAGCCCCTCTCTCTCCTGTCCTGTCAAACTCTCCCCGCGTGTGCTTTCTATCTCATGGTGCAGAACATAAAGGAGTTAGGAAAGCTTTTCTTTCCCTCCCTCTCCTTCATCTTCCAGCTTCTGACCATCGTTCTTGGGTCGGAAATGCCAAACATGCCGCCACTGAACCATCGTATGACATACTGTCTACTTTTCCACCCATCAAATCGAGTGTCATGCACAAGCGTTGTCTTGGTGACTGTTTAACATCCAAGCCCTGCATCCTGGAGTTCATGTGTTTGACATAAAGAGTTTCAGCGTGTGCTATCTGGATCTGTGGTGTCTGTGCTCCGCTGTCATTGTGAGGGTCTACGGTCACTAGCCTTGGACTCATGAGAGTGACGACAGTCCAGAAACAAAGACTCTTTTCTCAGACCCTGAGGTCTGTATAATTTTGACATGTCACACACATGCCTGGCATCACTTTGAGATGTTGAGCGTTGCCTTGTTAGTAATGTGACTTCTGTGTCAAGAGAAACAACTTGATTGCCAACAAGGTCAGCGTGATGTAAAAGGTTGTCATGGCAGATTTTCTTTTAAAGTTTAGTTATGCTTACATTCACACATCTCATGTTAATGCGTTTGGGCCTATGCTTATATGCACAGTTTCCATAGAAAAAAAAGGCTGTACACAATAGAAATAAAATAAATGCCCAAAAAAATCCAAAGCGCAGAATTTACATTCTGTGCATTCAAATTCAAATGAACGTGGTTTATCTTCTCACATTTGATATCTCCATTCTCCATATTCTGCACACAGTGAACGTGCTCTTAACATTATTCCTCCCGTGGCCCCTCACAAGCTCTCTACATGGATCTGTGTAAGAATATCTTTCAACCCAAACCAGATTTTAAATCTATTTTATATAAATCGCATTGCTGTCCGATGTATATTTAAGATAACGATCAATAAAGCAGAATCAAAGCTGGCGAGTAGACTATAGCAACAACACGGCTTTTGAATGACCTCCAAAACCACTTAGACTCCTCTACATTGCCTTCATGTCTGTATGTCCTCATATCACAATGAAAGCAGACAGATTATGTTATTTTATTGGAAACTACAGCGTAGCACTATTACACGCTTTTTTTTGTCAAAACCAGATGGCAGCTTAATATGATTTACAACAGTATGATGTGTTAAACCTGCTTGTTTTGCACAAGGTTCCCAAATAATAGAAATTAACAAATTAAGTCATGATAATTTGCCTGAAGTGCCTCAAGTTTCCTCCTGTGGTAAGTACTGCCAATCTCTTAGATCAAACAGATGTGCATTATCGCTCCATATGTGTCTCACAGAACAATATAGTCCGCCATGTCCGCTGTATCGATATGGCAAAGATATACTCTTTTACTGAATACAATTTTCATCGCAGACTGTAAATTAACAACTTTATGATTTTGCATCATGAGCGTTATGAGGGCGCATTTAAAAGCACATTTTCATGACAGAAGCATCCGTGTGTATTTTACAGTACATACAGTATGCACTGTGGCTTTAAGATGTTTAGTACATTGACTATTCATTTACTTTACTAGTATCCTTGCACAGTATGTGTGTATGTATTAAATGCGTCCCCAGTTTCCTTTGCCTCCTCAGGGCAGATCAGCAGGAGTTTAAGGTTTCTGCTCCGAGCTTGCTGAAAGCACACACTAACATGTTGTGCACATTGCTGGACCTCCACTGTAAAGATCCCGGGGGAAACTATTTGAAGTTAAAATCATGTATAACCTTCTCCACTGAGAGGTAGACTCATTTTATCATTACTAACACAAGATCTGCAAGTATCTGCCTTCTGGCAGCGCAGTCTCCTTCCTGCATGTGTGTGTTTTACTGCAGGTGTGTGTGTGATTGTGCATCAGCGTGTGCTTGTTTGTGAGGCGACTACAACAGAGCAAAAGAAGTGCCAGTTAAGAAAAGCTAATAGGTGAGTACAAGTGTTGTTCCTCCTTAGGCTGTCATTGAATATTTGCTCGACTAACATTCATAACTTCAAGCTAGGCTTATTTTCCTCTTACTGTCATTGGAACTTCAAATTTGTAAGCAGTCAATGTTTAAAGAAAGAGTTCATCGGAGCTTGGAGAACACGGACAAGTAAAGATTAACTTAAAGCTAGGGTTGGACATTTTCTTTAACAACGCTTTCTGTCACATTTGAGTCTGAAGAAGTTAAAATGTTCTCCAACCTCATTTATAGGAGTGATGGTGCTTTTTTCCAAATACTACTTGAAGCTTTAAGGAAGGATAAGGCCTACTTGGCAGTGGGACACTCATCTGCCACCAGCACAATAAGAAGGCAACAGGAAGCGAGCCAAGCACTAGCTCTCAGCACTAGCTGTAGGGGTCTAAGCAGCAGGAAAGCAGTACTGCAACATAGCTTTTGCTACATGCCTGCCAGATTTGAGCATGAATAAATAAACACAGCAAGATCTGTCCAATTCTTCCTCAGCCCCCGGCTTTAAACCAGAATACTTCTGTCACCTGTTATGATCATTCATTATCCTTTCCTCACATGCGTTATTTCACAGGTGCCAAGTTAAAAATAGTTGTATCTATTTTTGATGGGTTCCAACGAATAAGTGAAATAAAGCCCACTTGTGCTTGACACAGCACATAGTGCCAGATGAGGAGATTACTGCTTGTTAAGCTGTTCCCACTGTGGATTCCCCCCAACCAAATTACTCAACAGATCACAGTTCACTTGTTAGAAAACTAGAGGGCCTTCTGGGGAGAAGGACGCCTAAAACATAATTTACTGCACCATCAATGGTGAGGTTTAACAGAGACTTTTTAACAAGGAGTTTTATCCATGTGGAGTGGTTCAGGAGTCACATCATTTTGCCGTGTGCATTGTGTTTGTGACTTCATTAAAATCTTACTTACGCTGCATTAAAGAGCTTTCTTGCATTAACTGCAATTTGTAAAGGACTGCATTCAATATTCATTTGAATTCATTACGAAGCTCCACTTCCTCCACAGCTTATTTCTCCAAAGGCTGTCAAAAAACTGGTGGTGTGCTCACTGCTGCAGCTCCTGAGCAAGAAACATGCTTGTGTGCCGTCTATTTAAAAACCCAACAGAAATCTACACTTTCCATACCGTTTGTCATAAATCATGGTGCTGCTTTAGTTGAGCATAACACAAAAATGTCACAGTAGCGCTGATTAACACCTTGCTGAACCAAGCTATACCTGAATCTGCGTGTGCTTGTCAAAAACAGCAACTTGCATCCTTGTGGGATATCTTCCAGAACTTCTGAGACATACAGTACAGTATGTGCGGAGCTACTCCGTAACTTGTAACCTTCAATATGCACCAATTATTTCATAGTTACGTGAAATGGAGAAATGAAATGAAAGCTTAAGATTGAAAATAATGTGAGGAAATGCCATCAACGTTCTGGCCAAAAGAAAAAAAAACTATGGTCATTGATTGTTCAGTCAATTATGAAGTAAAAATTTCAAAAATTCTCTTCAGATGACTCAAAAGTGGAGATTTGTTGCTGTCATTGTAAACTGAATACCTTTGGATTTTAGACTGAAGTCTCCTTAAGGTCTAGAACATTTTACACACGTTTCAAAAATGTTTGCTCCTTTTATAGAGTCAACAATTATTTGTTTTATAA